GAGTTTTACATCATAAACACAAAGAATAAATATTATATTGTTACATTTCTAATCAAACTCTAATCAGCTGGTTTTAGTCTGAGTTTCTGCTGCTTTACAGGATATTAATCTACCAGTTAACCAGTAAACTAACAACTAGTCATCCAGTCAATTCACCATTAAACCAGTTAGTTAACCAGCTAGTTTGAGAATTGATTTGACTGATGTTATTTTTAAAACATTAAGTTTTCTGTTTTAGTTCTGCTTTAATAAACTCATAAACATAACAGCTTGATCTGCAATAAATGTTGATTTATAAAATCAATAATGTTGATTTTTTTATTCAGTTAAATCTGATTTATCCAAATAAGTTTGCTGCTCTGCAGTTTTGTTAAAAATAAACTGTTTAAATTAAACTGTAATTATTAATAACATTTAGACTTTAATGGCAACAAAAGTTGGATTAAAAAAATTACAGATTTTTAAAATTTGTAATTTAAAAAATTTAAAAATCTATTTTATGTTACTGAGACGTAAAAATAATTGTTTACTTCCAGAATAATCAACTTCTTCATGAGTCTGTAGAAGATGATAATCAGGACGATTATTGGAAAAATAAAAGTTTCTGCAGCTGAAAGAAACAAACTAATTATTATAAATCAAAAACTTCTGCAGGTGACGGATTATTTTTTATTTATCGTACTTTTAATGCAGATAGCAGAAAGTTTAATGTGCAGTAAAATCTGATCAGTTTTCTACTGGTTGATTTCAGATCGTTTCTAGTTAAATCCTCTTGTTGTTTCTATAGATGTAGAATGTATAGATGCTGAAAGCCGGCTGGTTTTCTCTGCTCTGCCGGTGATGACTGGACCTTCATAGAGCCGTGAATATTCCTAGAAACGTTTTCTTTCAAAGCTCCGGTTCACAAGGCGCCGTCCATCCGTCCCTCTCTTCCTCCCGTCCATCCGTCCCTCTCTTCCTCCCGTCCGTCCGTCCGTCCCTCTCTTCCTCCCGTCCGTCCGTCCCTCTCTTCCTCCCGTCCATCCGTCCCTCTCTTCCTCCGTCCGTCCGTCCCTCTCTTCCTCCCGTCCATCCGTCCGTCCCTCTCTTCCTCCCGTCCGTCCGTCCCTCTCTTCCTCCCATCCGTCCCTTTGGGAGGATCTCAGTGGGAGCTTAAGCAGGGAGCAGCAGCGGCGGTTGAAGCGCAGCTGTCTGGCTGAATGCTAATTGATTTGGGCGATTTGTGGCCCTGGAGGGACGAAGGATGGATGGAGGGAAGAGCAGAGGCTTTGAAGAAGGAATTAGGTTGAGCTGTTGGTTCAGCGTCTGTCCGGGTAAAAATGGAGACGAGAGGAAAAACATCGACTGCTGGCGACTTCTGGATCAGGGAGGAAGAGGAGAGGAAGAGGAGAGGAAGAGGAGAGGAAGAAAAGTTCATGTGAAGAATCACTGAATCTGAATCACATCTGGTTTAAAACAGCTGAAATGTTTAGGATCCATTCATAATAAACCGATCAATCGATTCTCTGATAGATCTGATTCCAGTCTGATAATGATTACCGCCAGCCTGTTGCTGGTTGCTGTTGCTCCTTGTTGCCTCCAGCTGAGCAGCTCCTCTAATCGTTGCTGATATTTATGAACATCCAGAGAAACTTCAGCCAAGAGACGCATCGTCTCCAGATGAACTGGAAGAGCTTCAGTCTCATAAACCCATGTCCATCTGTCCATCCGTCCTCATCAGCATCAGCAGCTTCTCCTCCTGGACCTCAGGATGTTTCCAGGCTAGTAGTGTTAGCTTCAGGCTAGTAGCATTAGCTTCAGGCTAGTAGCATTAGCTTCAGGTTAGTAGCATTAGCTTCAGGCTAGTAGCATTAGCTTCAGGCTAGTAGCATTAGCTTCAGGCTAGTAGCGTTAACTTCAGGCTAGTAGCATTAGCTTCAGGTTAGTAGCATTAGCTTCAGGCTAGTAGCGTTAGCTTCAGGCTAGTAGCGTTAGCTTCAGGCTAGTAGCGTTAGCTTCAGGCTAGTAGCATTAGCTTCAGGCTAGTAGCGTTAGCTTCAGTCCACCATGAGGGAAGAGTCCAAGCTCCACAAACCGACTGATCCAATTGGTTCTGAGAAAACCAGGATTTTATCTGAGATCGTCCTGGATGAAGGATTAGCGCCCTCTGGAGGAAACTCATCCAGGTTTATTTAGTTCAACTCCAGCCCAGTGAACTAGTCAAAGTCCAGTTCAGTTGGTGAGGTGTCGACCTCTGACCTCTGGTCCTCCAAACTTTGGTCTGGGTTTGGTTTAAGTGAACTCTGGTTCGGTTTGAATGTGAACGCCAACCTGACCAAAGATCGCTCCAAAAGCAGGAAGTGGACAAAACCGCAGGGCATTCTGGGTAAATCCAACCAAAGCTAACATGTTAGCCTAGCGCTAGCAGCTGAAATGGCTCCTGGTCTTCAGCCAAAGACTAAAGAAAAATCACTAAACTCTGACGCCTTCATCTTGTTTCATCTGGTGAAAGGAAGTTGCTCTCAGTGTCTCCAGAGGTTTTAGTGTCATTTCCTGCAGTGGTTGTTGGTGCAGCGCCCCCACAGGCCAGGAGGGGAACAGGTTGCTCAAGAGTAGAGAGAAAGAGAACCACAGCTCCTTCGTTGGATTGTTAACAAAGTTAACAATCGTTGCTCTGATTGGACAGAAGTGATGGAGGAAAGTCTGAAATCCCGACCTTCCCTTCATCCGTCATCAGTTCGTGAATCTGCCAGCGGCGCTCCGGCTGTTTGTTCCTGAATGTTTTTGTTGTTTGTTTCTCCTCTCAGTTTGATCTGTTTCCTGTTGGACCTGCTAACCAAACCATGATGGCCGCTCTGCTGCCGGCGAGCTCAGGAGAAATGGAGCCTGTTTTCACCAGAGCAATTAAAAGTCTAAGAAAAACCTGCAGCAGCAATTAAAGGCGAAGTTCCTGACGAGTTATTTTCTGCCTCACTCGGCGCTAACCTCGGCCTGCCGACTGCTTGTGTTCATAAATAGCTCCGAGTGGCACACAGGAGGTTCAGCCTGTTTCATTACGGCTGTTAGATAATTTGGTTTTAATCATTTCTGCGACTCTCCGCCCACAGCAGCTCTTTGATTGGCTTCACAGCAGCGCAGCCGTTTGAACGCCAGGACAGATGAACCGGGTTCAGCAGCAGTAATCACAGCCTGAACCGCTCCGCATGTTTCACTCAGACACGCGTTTACCACAGGCTTCTGGGTAATTCACTGAATCGACGAGCCTGACCCTCAGCATGATGCAGCCAACTCCTGGTTCGGGACGCTTTTGGTCAGAAACTGTTTCTCCTCTTCCAGACGTTCGTCTGCTTCCCAGTTTTGATTTCAACTTTAAGACTTCCTGTTTTATTTTTGTATCCCACCTGAGCAGCAGATCTCTGCAGCTCCTCCAGAGCGGTTGGGAATCATTTTTATTTAAATCAGAAGTCTGGTTGGTTTTCCATCAGTCGGGTTTCCAGGCAGCCTGGAAAAGTTTGGAAAAGTCTTTAATTAGCTTCTGGTGTTTCCAACCTGTTTTCTATTTTAGTGAAATTTTAATGAGACAAAAAGTCAGTGAGATTTGATCTTCAATAAGAGATGAAGAGTCATGATGATCTTTACTTTTTGTTTCACTCAGCAGCTCAGTTTCCCTGTTTCTTCCTCAGCTTCCGGTGTAACCAGTTTTTATCTTTGAATTTAATAAAGCTAATAATAATAATGAAGCCCAAACAATTCAGTTTTTCCTTCAGGCCACAAAATGAAGAGGAAATCATTTTGATTTGAAGATTTTTAATTCCTGGTAAAAAATTGAAATTTGAGGCTCAATAATAAATATGAATAATGTAATGTGCTTCATTATGGCACATTTACCCTGCAGTGTGTGTGTGTGTGTGTGTGTGTGTGTGTGTGTGTGTGTGTGTGTGTGTGTGTGTGTGTGTGTGTGTGTGTGTGTGTGTGCAGTGTACAGGTGTCCCTGTATCGATCCCCCTTCCAGCTATATGGGCTGGATGATGGAGACATCAATTATTAAACATTAATACTCTATCTCATAAAATACCAGTCAGTCTCTGTGTGTGTGTGTGTGTGTGTGTGTGTGTGTGTGTGTGTGTGTGTGTGTGTGTGTGTGTGTGTGTGTGCGTGTGTGTGTGTAATTGCATTAGTCTCTCTCTCTCTGACATTTCCACCAAATGTAGCGATGTTCAATTATTCATGAGCCGCTGAGCGCGGGCGAGCGACATAGAGAATGAATGGAGAGAGAGAGAGGAGATCATGTTGTGTTTTGTTATTGTAGGTTTAATGTGTTGTTAGTCATTTTGTCAACTGTGGAGGTGGAGAGAAAGGGCAAGATGATGAAGAGCTGGAATAGAGGAGGAAGGACAGAACGGAGTAAACAGGAAGTACATGACGAGGCTTCCTGGTTTCAACAGGAAGTAGTTTCCCATTAGAGACAGAAACAGTTTCCACTTCCTGTTTGAGGACAAAACCATCCCATCTGCTTTCAGCAGGCCCTCAGCATGACCCTGCCACCACCATGCCTTACAATGCTGCTCGCATCACTGAGCTCAAACGGCTCAACCTTCATCTGAACCACCAGAGGATTTTGGATCAGCGTCACATTTCAGTGCGACTTAAATGATTCTTTTTGGTGAATCATGAAAGGAATCAGTCATTCGGGTCCAGAAATGGGTGCCAATGTGAGGAAGAGTGAAACGTCTTCGTCTCATCGTCTTGAAACATAAAACTTCCTCTCTGCCTGAATAATTTGGGTTTTTATTACTTGATCCTCTAATATTTACATTTCATTACCAAAGAGTTAGCTGGTGATTTAACAGAGTAAAATAAATAAAATAATAAAACGAGACACAAATGTTACTGTGAAAAGTAACAGACCGGGTCATGAAGCAGCAGAACTCTGCGAACTCTTAGTTTAAAACAAACGTCAGACATGAAGACACATCGTTACATGGTGATGCTAACGGTCCGATTGTTTCTGTGCGTTTCAGGACGGGCCGGCGGAGTCACTGCTACCGCATCGTCTACCGCCACATGGAGCGAACTTTGACCCAGCAGGAGGTGCGGCAGGTCCACCAGCAAATCGAGCGGATGGCGGAGACGGAGCTGGGCGTTCAAGGCCGGTTCTGAGTCTGAGCGGCGTAGATCTACGCACACAGAGCCTGAGCTGAGCAGCTGTGACTGTCGTGCTCAGGCGTCACTCTGCCGTAGATGCTGCTGCCGGCGGTTCACACGCTGCTGCAGCACTTCGTCATCCTCCCTCCGCTCCCCTTCAGCCGTAACGTGTGAATCTGACGTGCGTCGCCTTTAATTTCCAAAAACATCGTCTGGTCGGCCAGCGATTGCCGGTGACGCTGCAGGCTGATCTCCAGCAGGTCTGAACTCCAGGCTGTTAAACCCTGATGACTTCCTGTCTCTGAAACCAGCTACAGTCGATGTTAAATTACCTATAAAAGTCATCTAATTTAAAAAACCTGCTGTGTGAAAGTAATTTGACTCTTGAACCTTTTTGGGACAGAAGTTTTAGTACCTTCAGCTGTTTGGACACACAGGGAGAAATTTATCTGAAATGTTTTTGGAAACTGTTTTGAATGTTGACTAAAGAGGAAAAGTTAATAAAAACGTTTGCACTAACCTGGTTGCATAAGTGTTTCATTCGCTGTTAATTTAACTCTAGATTCAGTTTCAGGCTTCAGGTTCAAACCTGCCATCAATCTGACGACCTGCTGGACTTTCCAACGACTTACCTGTCCAGGTGACCACGAACCTGAAGGACCCTGTTTAACAAAGGTATCAATCAGGAGAAGGACATCAGTTTATCCAGGTGCTTCTCTTATTATCTGTATATAATTCACCAGGGCTTTAAGGCAGGTAGAAATGTTTCCACCCGTTTCACGTTTAGCTGATGAAATCCAGGTTTTTCTGCCCAACTACCCAAAAACTACAGAGTCCCTGAGGAGACATTTAATTATCTAAAAGACATAAGAACCTGAGTAAGGTTACATTTTGTCTCTCTGATAGGAATCTGGGTTTTCTTACTGATTAGGCTTTTAAACTAGACCAACTGGATGCTGCAGATGTTAAATCAGTTTTTTCCAAATTCTTTGTAAAAGTGAAACTGAATCTCAATCATTGAGTTTCATAATTCAGACGATCTGAACCGACTGCTGAGATCAATATGAACTCATATCAGCTTCTGGTCTTTTTAAGAGAACATTCCTACCGGTTCTGTTCCATCCACTTCAACCCGACAACAGTCCGCCTGTCTAGTCAAAGTCTGGTTCAGTTGCTGAGGTGTAAACGCAAATCAACCTCTGACCTCTGGTCCTCCAATCCTCGGTCTGGGTTTGGTTTGAATGTGAACACCAAGCGTACCAAAGACCACTCCAAAACGCAGGGCATTCTGGGTAAATAAACCAAAACTAACATGCTAGCCTAGCGCTAGCAGCAGAAATGGCTCCTGGTCTTCAGCCAAAGACCAAAGAAATCACTAAACTCTGACGCCTCCATCTTGTTTCATCTGGTGAAACAGGAAGTTGCTCTCAGTGTCTTCAGAGGTTTTAGTGTCGTTTCCTGCAGTGGTTCTTAGTGCAGCGCCCCCACAGGCCAGGAGGGGAACAGGCTGGTTTGACTCAGAGCAGCTGGAGGTAGAGCAGATGTTCTGGTTCCAGTAGAACCGGGTCGACTGGACCATCAGGAGGAAACCAGCCAAAGCCAGGTGAGTCCAAGTCCAGCCCTCAACTCGTCTGATTGAAGTAGAACCCTTGACCCAAACGGATCTGATGGCTTTAGCTTCTATTTGGTTCTTCTTTTGTTTCCTCTTAAATTTATTGTATTTAACATCTAAAATTCAGTTTTCATAACGGTTTTTGTTTATTTCTGATGTTCTTAATTAACTTTATTTATAGAAAAAAGCATTGACAGTATGAGTTTTTTTTTTCTAGAAAATACAAAGATAGAAATAAACAGACATCCGTTTTTATTCTGAAGCTCATTAAACATTCAGGGATTGTTTCTGCTCCTGTCACTGTCTGAACCACGATGCTCCGAGATCCAGCCATGATGAGTTTCTTTAATTTCTAAATAAATTAAAGCAACAATAAAACCGTCCCTGACAGCACAGCTGCTCCGTAGCGAAACCAACAATAATTAGGCGTCTTACTTTGACAGCTCTGTGAAAATCCATCTCTCAAGCTCAAGAAGTCATCTTAGTTCATTTTTATTGTTGTTTTCGCAAAAAAAAAAATTCCCTTACAGTGGAACAGATGAGGTTGGTGTCGGGTTGTGTAATGAGGAAACCTGCAGGAGGTCACGGGGTCGACGGGGGCAGTTCAGGAAACAAACTTGTCAGAACAGAAGAGTTCATGTTTCATTAGAACCAAGTGGATCCTGAACATCTAATCGACTTTCTGCTCAATTAACTTCCAGCTTTTACTGAAATTATTAAGATTAGTTTTCATTGAAGTAAATGAAAGAAAATCCTGAAGAAACACCAACAGACTTTTTCTTCGATTTCATCTACAGATGCAATCATTTAATATTTATTGACAAAATAAAACCTGTTTCTGCTGCTTTGAATAATTTAATCTGATTAAATGTTTTTCTAACTTCATCTTTCCAGAGCCTACATGCCAGCATTGAGATGCTAACATGTAGGCTAGCATAGCTTCACTGATTAGTGAACTGCTTTTAGCACTACTGGAACACAACAGCAGTATTTTCAGATCATTTAAAAACAGAAATTAAAACCCAGTGGGACCAAAGACGCTCCGTTGTTAGCAGATGTAGCCTGTGCGTCATGTTTATGAGCATAACGGAAACACGTGACTATAAATATTTCGGTGGGAACTCTTGTATGCCAAAAAACCCCAAACAATTAATTGCTTTAAAACTTTGAACACATCACAATCTGTGTAACTAATTAATCAAAATGAACACATCCCTGAAAACAAAAGCCTTCTAAAATATTTACATATTCCTGATTGACCACAATGTCTGAATCTCCTCAATGCAACAAACACAATAATGATCAGACCTCCAAGACCTTTACATCCCACTACCAAACAAACTGCCATCTTTTTCCCCTTCAACCTCTCCAAGCAGCCATTCCGGTTCAGAGTCATGACCTTTAACCTTTATCTGGCTAACTGAGGCCTCCAGAGTCAGAGACCGAGATTTCTGGATGTTTGCAATTTTTTCCTCCTGGGAGTGACTGAACTGATGGATGACCTCTGACCCTAGTTTTTATTTTTGTTAAATATTCAGTTAAAATAGTTAGCAGTTAGCAGCATGGAGTTTTATGTGATGTTTGTCCTGATCCGTTTCACCGAGTCGAGAGTGTCCTCACCGATAGTGTCTGGGTCGCTCCTGGGTCCTCAAGAAGATAGAAAGGAAAGTACACACACACACACACACACACACACACACACACACACACACACACACACACACAGTCATTAGAAGAAACACTGCTACATTCATTCACACATACAGCATAACAACCAGTCAGCATACTGTCACCGAAACGAGCCGCTACGCTGGCTTAGGCTGGCACGCAGACAAACACACACACATGCACATGCCCACACACGCCAACACACACGGAGGGTGAACAGACAAACCACTCTGCCAATCAGCCGCTGCTGCCTGTCGCCGCTGGTTGGCTGCGCTCGTCACTCTGGTGGAGTTAAATCTCAGCTCTGACAGTTTGAGGCCAAGCTTATAGTTTGGACACTGCAAATTCTCTCTTCAATATTTAATCAGTGTGCCTGTTTTAGTATTCTGACGCCCGGGAAAGAGTATCGGTGCAAAAAGTCCCACATTCAGAGCAGAACTTCACAGATTCACCCTGAAACTGGATCGCCTCGGCCTCTGCAATCCGGCTGCTAGCAGAGGTTAGCGGCTCCACTCGTGTAGGATTCTGGTTCTGGTTCCTGTTAAGCAGTCAGAAAACATCAGCTGATTGGCCTGTTGGAGGAAAATGTTTTAAAACTTCCTGGTTCAGTCAAACGGTGTCGCAACAGAAAGTCAACAGAATGTGACTGAAATGAGAACAGAAACAGAAGACTTTACGTTCACTGCGACAGAAACTTTCAGTTGTGATTAGTTTTTATTTTTTCACATACTAAAGTTCCTGCCAGAACATTTCTGTTTGCATGTTTCTAGCACGCATAAATCTGACGCACAAGATACATCAGCTAACAGCAGCGATGGACAACGAAGCTGCTTGGAGGTGATGCAATAGAGAGAAAACGTGGCCCTGTGTTGTCTTTTGAAGTGGTTAGTTGTTAGTTTTTGAAGATTCTAGTTTTTGAAGATTTTGGTCTTTGAAGTTTTTAGTTTTTGAAGCTTTAAGTCTGAAGCTTTAGTCTTTGAAGTTTTTAGTTTTTGAAGCTTTTAGTCTTTGAAGTTTTTAGTTTTTGAAGCTTTTAGTTTTTGAAGCTTTTAGTTTTTGAAGTTTTTAGTTTTTGAAGCTTTTAGTCTTTGAAGTTTTTAGTTTTTGAAGCTTTTAGTCTTTGACGTTTTTAGTTTTTGAAGCTTTTAGTCTTTGAAGTCTTTAGTTTTTGAAGCTTTTAGTCTTTGACGTTTTTAGTTTTTGAAGCTTTTAGTCTTTGAAGTTTTTAGTTTTTGAAACTTTTAGTCTGAAGTTTTTAGTTTTTGAAGATTTTAGTCTTTGAAGTTTTTAGTTTTTGAAGTTTTTAGTTTTTGAAGCTTTTAGTTTTTGAAGTTTTTAGTTTTTGAAGCTTTTAGTCTGAAGTTTTTAGTTTTTGAAGCTTTTAGTCTGAAGCTTTTAGTCTTTGAAGTTTTTAGTTTTTGAAGCTTTTAGTCTTTGACGTTTTTAGTTTTTGAAGCTTTTAGTTTTTGAAGTTTTTAGTTTTTGAAGCTTTTAGTCTTTGAAGTTTTTAGTTTTTGAAGCTTTTAGTCTTTGACGTTTTTAGTTTTTGAAGCTTTTAGTCTTTGAAGTCTTTAGTTTTTGAAGCTTTTAGTCTTTGACGTTTTTAGTTTTTGAAGCTTTTAGTCTTTGAAGTTTTTAGTTTTTGAAGCTTTTAGTCTTTGAAGTTTTTAGTTTTTGAAGCTTTTAGTCTTTGAAGATTTTAGTTTTTGAAGTTTTTAGTTTTTGAAGCTTTTAGTTTTTGAAGTTTTTAGTTTTTGAAGCTTTTAGTCTGAAGTTTTTAGTCTTTGAAGTTTTTAGTCTGACGTTTTTAGTTTTTGAAGCTTTTAGTTTTTGAAGTTTTTAGTTTTTGAAGCTTTAGTTTTTGAAGCTTTTAGTTTTTGAAGCTTTTAGTTTTTGAAGATTTTAGTTTTTGAAGCTTTTAGTTTTTGAAGTTTTTAGTTTTTGAAGCTTTTAGTTTTTGAAGTTTTTAGTTTTTGAAGCTTTTAGTTTTTGAAGTTTTTAGTTTTTGAAGCTTTTAGTTTTTGAAGTTTTTAGTTTTTGAAGCTTTTAGTCTGAAGTTTTTAGTCTTTGAAGTTTTTAGTTTTTGAAGCTTTTAGTCTTTGAAGTTTTTAGTTTTTGAAGCTTTTAGTTTTTGAAGATTTTAGTTTTTGAAGTTTTTAGTTTTTGAAGCTTTTAGTTTTTGAAGATTTTAGTTTTTGAAGTTTTTAGTTTTTGAAGCTTTTAGTTTTTGAAGTTTTTA